TCCGGGCTGGCCCCTCCTAGTCCCGGAGACACTGGAGGGGGTCCTGGGCCGGGGGTGGAACGGGAAGGATGGGACTCAGGAACCTAGCAAGGGGCAATGGGGGAATGAGAGATGGGGGCAGGGGTTGGGGGCATGGGCAGGGGAGAGGATGAGAGGGTGACAAGGGTTGGAGAGTGAGGACAGGACTCGGCCGAGGGTCCAGGCGCTGCCAGGGCTTGTGTCTCCCACTGCAGCAAGGATGGCACCAAGAGGGAGGCTGGGTCCCGCATCCCCTCCCCAGCACAGGCAGGCAGTGAGGAGCACTTGGGTTGTCTTGGGGAGCACACCCTTCCTTCCCCCCACCCCTCCCGCCTCTTTGCTCCCTAGCATCCAGGGTTAAATGACAGGATGACACAGGCCATGGCATTCCCTTCAGTTGCCCCAACCCATTGGTGGCCTGAGGACATTGTGGGATGGCCCTCGGTGGGCCATTTTGGTGGCACGTTGCCTCTCAGTGAAACAATGAACCCTGAAAAGCAACGTGTTTTAATGATTTCTGGCTCGAAAGCTTGTGAAAAATCATAATAATATTAATCAAAATAATAGACCACAACTTCCAGTCATCTCAAAGCCTCCCTCCCTAGTTTTAAAAGGCGAACAGATGGAGCAAGCCCTCCTAGTTAAGGAGGGGATTTCCAGCAGCTTCTATCTCAAAAGGAACCAAAGCATCCCAGCGTGGCAGCTGCCTCCAGAAGAGCAGTTGAGCATCCCTGTACCTCCAAATCCAGGCTGTCATCGTCCCCTCTGGAGAGGCGGCATCACCAGAGACAGCACCCCCCCCCAGCCCAAAAATTGCTGAAGGGGTAAAAAAACTACAGCGCTCTATTGCTAACATGCGAATTACATCATTTATACAGTATTTATGGGCTCCTGCCTTTATTCCAGCTAAAACTCAGGGTCTGTTTCCCTTAGGAAATAAGAAAAAACCCAAAGGTTATAAGAAAGTTAAGTATAAAAATATTTCAAAGAGTCATTCTTGCTTCCTGTCCTTTTAACGTGAAGAAATGGAGGGTCTGGGAGGTCTTAAGGAGCTACTGCTGGGCTCCAGGGTCTCTGGTGGGACAGAAGCCAGCCCAGGCACTTTCTTGAGAGGGGAACAGAGGCTGCAGCAGGTGACGTCCCTCCAGCCCTGCTCCCATCAGGATCTGCAAGAAGACACAAGAAAAAAAAAACAGGATTTGGAGAATGCACTTAGGAAGACATTTAAAAATGTTATTTCAAAGGCAGAGGGGGGTTCTTTTGAAACTTAGCTTCATTATTCCATAAAATAACACTGAAATTCAATATAAACACCCCAAAAGGGAGCAGGACACCAGCCCCCAGCTCCAGCACTGACCAAATCCCACTTGGTTTTGATGCTCACACAGAAAACTTGGATGGAAGGGAGGTAAAAAGGAATTAAACCACTCGGGTCCAACCCTTGTGCCTGTGTTTTTTTGGTGGAGGGAAGGGGAGAGGAAATCTTACTGGGAAATCTTGCAGTTTGTCGTGGCGACATAGCGTCCAGTGTAATGGATGTTGCACCTCACCACGTTGTTGGTGAAGTCTGACTCCAGGACAATGTATTTGGGGTTCACTTGAACCTAAAAAAGGGGAAAAGGGAAAGAAAAACAACCCCAACTAGTAAGAGGGGGGGAAAAGCAGCGCTTAAACCCCCGTTAAAGGGACGGTGTCCAAAAAGGTGCATGGTTCCAAACCAAATGATTGAGAAGATCCCAAGCTGCTCCAGATTGGTAAGGCTTGCCCTGAAATACCCCTCCCAGTGACCCCAGCCACCTTTAAGACGTAATTCCCTGGCTGCACGTCTGTGATATCAATCCACTGGCAGTCAATGTCAGCATTGTAGGTATCGTAGCAGCCCGGGCTCAAGCCCTGCAATGAGAACAGGGGGTTCAGAGTGTGCTGGGGCAAGGTGGTGAACCCCAAGGAGCCCTTTGAGCTTCCACCCCCAAAGGCACCTGGGTGTGGGCCGTGCAGGCGTAACGCTTCAGGTTGCCGAAATCGCAGGTGGTGTCCTCCAGGCAGAAGCTGGCCTTGTGGCCCTCGGCCACCTTCCTCCCCGTGGTGGCATCCAGCAGGTCGTAGTGGCTGAACTCATCCATGCTGTGGTAGTGCCTGGGAGGCAGGGAGGGACAGTTAGGGTGACCCCCCCCACACACTCCCCCCAAATGGTGCCATCTACTCCCCAGATGTGATTTTTGGGGGCTCCCCATCAACCCTGGGTCCACACCAGCTTGCCAGCTCCCTCCTTGGGGACACTAATTGCAGGAGCCTGGAGGCTTTAGGGACAAAGAGGCAAGGTGATACCCCTGCCCCGCGAAGATCTCAAAGTGAAGCCACAAAAAAGGGGGAAACACCATTAAAGAAGCCTTAAAAAATGCCATTTTAAAAGGCTGAAAATTGCCCCAACAAGGAGGGCTGATGGTGGGGATGTGGGGACACTCACTGGTGACAGCTGTGCCACTCCCAGCTGTGCCGGGGCCGGCTGGGCAGAAAGTCAGCCGTGCCCTGGTTCTTCACCCTCTGGGGAAACCGCAGGAGCACCCGCACGTCGTAGTCAGTGGCCTCGGCGGTGTAGGCGGTGCTGGGGACATTGGAGAAGGTCAAGGTCAAGCTTTTCTTGGCCCCAACCCCTGGGGGCCAGGAGCTCCCCCACGCATGGGGTGCAGGCTCAGCTCTGGCACCCCCAGGGAGGAAAAGCCCCAGCAAATGTCTCCGCAGGGAGAGCTTACTCCAGGGAAAAGGAAATGATGAGGATGGAGGAAGGGGAGGAAAGAGGGTCCCTGTCCTGCAGCCCCCAACAGAGACCTTCCTCGGTGCTGTGTTTTGCCCTTTGCCCTTCCCTTGCTCTCCTTCCTTCTCTTCTCCTCTCCTCCATCCTTCTTCCCCTTTCCTCTTCCCTCTCTCCTTTCCTCTTTCTTCTCCTTTCCCCTTTTCTTCCTTCCTCCATCCTTCTCCTTCCCTATCCTTCCTTTCCCTGTTCCTTTCCCTTTCACTTCTCCATCCTTCGCCTCCTTCCTCCCCTTCCCTTTCCTTTTCCCTTCTCCCCTCCGTCTTTTTCCTTCATCCTTCTCTTTCTCCCCCATCCCTTCTCCCTTTCCCCTCTTCTCTATCCTTCCCTTCCCTTTCCTTCTCCTCTCCTCCATCCTTCCCCTCTTTCCCCTTTCCTCTTCCCTTCCCCTCTCCTCCATCCTTCTCCATCCTCCTCTATCCTCATCTCCCATTCCCTCCCCGGTGCCCCTCCACCTGCCCACTCCCCATCTTCCCCCTCGCCCCAGGACCCCCTTTTCTCCCCCCACAGCCCCAGGA